AAATGAGAATCCGGCCGAGGGGGCCTTATAACCCCCTGTCTCTTATACACATCTAGATGTGTATAAGAGACAGGTCCTGCTGCTTGCAAGTACGACGCAAATGGTTAGTCAATGACTTGCTTGATCGGTCGGTCACTCACTCTCGGTCAGTTAATCAACGAGTCGCTTGTAACCGTTGTGATTTGCGTGCAGGTTCAAGTACAGATGATGAAGCCTCCGGAGATGTTTCAGAAGGATGGGCAATCTGAGAATGGAAGAGCAGCCTCCGTAGAGATCGATCATTTTGGCGACGTGGCGGATGCGGAGGCCGTGTACCGCTGTAACAGCAAATCAGGCACGGGCGTTGTTCCGCCAGAAAAGCGATCCATGCTCCAGTCCATCTGTTACTTGCCGGGGAGTCTCCAACTCCTGGACCAGAGGAAGCTTCCCCGTGAATGTGTCTACTTGGACATAAAGAGCGCAGAGGATGCTTGGCACGCGATCGTCGACATGGCTGTCAGGGGCGCACCCGCAATTGCCATTGCTGCAGCTCTGTCTTTGGCTGTGGAGCTGGCCAACAGCAGGAATAATGGGTCTGGCTTCTTCTCCCAATCCAGGACGGCAAAGGAGGTGGTATCCTTCATCGAGAGCCAGCTAGATTACCTTGGGACAAGCCGTCCTACGGCAGTCAATCTGTTTGAAGCAATCAAATTCTTCAAGCGAGAGATAGCAGCAGCAGCTGATCGTGGCATAACGGGCGAAGATATCGTGCAGGTGTATGTAGATGCCGCCGAACGGATGTTAGAGGAGGATGTCAAGTCGAACATGGCGATTGGTGACCACGGGGCGCAAGCCATCTGCGAAGATCTGAAGGTGAAGAAGGGTGTCGATAAGTTCAGGATTCTGACGCACTGCAATACAGGAAGCCTGGCGACTGCAGGGTACGGAACAGCTCTTGGCGTAATCCGGTCCTTGCATAGAATGGGGAAGCTGGAGGCGGCAATTTGTACGGAGACAAGACCGTATAATCAGGGTTCACGGTTGACCGCCTTTGAGCTTGTGCACGATGGCATTCCTGCGCTTTTGGTGGCCGATTCTGCTGTGGCGTCGCTGAAGGCATGTGGTCGCGTGGATGCAGTTGTTGTTGGTGCCGATCGCGTCGCTGCAAATGGAGACACTGCTAACAAGATCGGGACGTACGCCATCGCTCTCTCTGCGTTTCATCATGGAATCCCTTTCTATGTGGCAGCACCATTTACAACCGTTGATCTCCTCACTCATTCTGGCACCGACATCCATATTGAGGAGCGATCGCCAAAGGAGCTGACCCACTCTCACGGTGGCCATGGCACCCAGGTCGCTCCTTCCGGAATCGATGTGTGGAATCCTGCATTTGACGTCACGCCTGCGCAGTTTATCGCCGCCATATTGACTGACAAGGGGGTCATCAGGAAGCCGAGGGGCCTCCACGTGTTCGACATCTCCTACTGGCTGAGGGGAGGAGGAACAGCGCGCAGTGCAACGGCAGTCCCAAGCGTGGCCTTGAGCCCCGCTGCCGTCCGGAGGCTTTCCAACCCATCATCACCGCAGGAAGGCAGCCCCGATGACGACTCTGCACATCCAGACTTCCATGAAGTCGGGGACGAGTTTGAGCCGCTCGATGGCGAGGGTGTTCGTAAGTATGTTGGAAAGTACAGTGAGCTTTCGTCGCGAGTTGGTGGGGACCACCCAAATGAGTGGACTGTGAGGGAAGTCGGTGACGGCAACATCAACTTTGTGTACATTGTAGAGGGCCCTCGAGGAGGTATCATTGTGAAACAGTCGTTGCCGTATGTTCGATGTGTCGGAGATTCGTGGCCTTTGACATTGGAGAGATCCTACTTTGAGGTGGAAGCTCTGAAAGAGCACGGGCGGATTTGCCCCGAGCACGTCCCTGAAGTATATCACGAGAACCCTACGATGGCTGTGATTTCCGAAAGATACTGCGAGCATCCGCACATCATTCTTCGCAAAGGCCTTATTGCAGGGGTAGTCTATCCGCTTCTGTCGGAGCATATGGGGGAATACTTGTCACGCACCCTCTTCTTCACTTCTCTGTTTGCGCTCAGCAGTGGGGACCACAAGAAAGCCGTGGCCAAGTACTGCAAGAACTCTGAAATGTGCAGATTGACAGAGCAGGTGGTATTCACAGAGCCGTACATGAATGCAACCAACAACAGGTGGACGAGTCCGCAGCTGGACGAGGATGCGCTTCGGCTTCGGAAGGACAGGAGGCTAAAGCTGGCAGTCGCCGAGCTGAAGTCTAAGTTCTGCGAGCGTGCTCAAGCGCTGATTCATGGCGACCTCCACACCGGGTCCATTATGGTCACGCAGACATCCACACAGGTGATCGACCCGGAGTTTGCCTTCTATGGGCCGATGGGTTTCGACTTGGGGGCGTACTTCGGGAATCTCATGCTCTCATACTTCAGCCAGGATGGCCACCCCTCCTCCCCTTCCTCCGTGGGTTGCCCAGGAGGAGGCGAAGGAAGGGAGGGTTTCAAGGCATGGCTGCTGCAATTGATTTCTGAGACCTGGAGTCTATTCTCAGAGAAATTCCGGGCTCTCTGGAGATTGCACGCAACCAATGGACACGTCTACAACGTGGCGATGTTCCCCACCGCCCGCGAAGGCGGCGATGACGAGTTGAGCATTGCACAGGAAGCATTCATGCAGGAGCTTCTGGAAGATACTTTGGGATTCGCATCAGCCAAGATGATCAGGAGGATTGTTGGGATTGCGCACGTTGCCGACTTCGAGGAGATCCACGATCCCGACGTTCGAGCAGTCTGCGAGAGGCGTGCATTGAACTTTGCAAAGTCCCTTCTGATTCGCAGGAAGGGGATTAGCTCCATGGAAGAGGTTGTCCAGGACCTCAAGAAAGCATCATAGTATGTCAGCCCATCTAGATTCAATTTGCTGTCTCAGAAGGTATCCCAGAGGGTGCGGGGAAGGGAGGGAGGGAGGGCTGAAGGAATGCGAAGGCAACTGAATGCAGCTGGGTTTCTTCACCTTTCCCTCACAGTATTTGTACAGACGAACGCTTGGCATGCTCATAAATGTTTCCGAGATTGAGAGGATTGTTGTACAACTAGCACATCTCTCGGAAAGCAAGGAAATGTGTGAGGAACCGCACACACACACACACACACACAGAGATAGATAGATAGATAGATAGATTGAGAGAGAGAGAGAGAGAGAGAGAGAGAGAGAGAGAGAGAGAGAGAGAGAGGTTGTTGCACATTGTAAATTGGTTTCAAGATGAGCTCCAATCATGCAGCCGCAGAGAGAGTAACCATCGATGTTCAATCTGAATGCGAAGCTTCCAGCAAATTATACCGATCACAGACTTGGAGGATGGGAGGGGGCTCTTTCCCTGCGGAATGTGGATTCATGTGGTCTTATCACTGTGGTCTCTGGCAGACCTGTTCAGCAGGAATTGTGCTGCATCCAACTCAAGCGCAGGCAGTCAAAGTCTTTTTCTATACGGCAGAACGCTGCCCACTTGCATCTCCTCAAAGGGCTGTTCCCCTTTACTAACGGCACAGCATGTTCAAGATATGAGCATGTGGTTGGGGGCGCGGGGGGGGAGGGGTGTGCTGGGAGAAAGGAGAGACTTGGTGTTGAGGGGTCTAATTCAGATCCACACAAGCAGGTGCACTTTTCAGTTACCGTAATAGGAAAGGATGATGGGAGGTCGACATTAGCAGGCTCTGTATGATGTAGGCAATTCCAGAGAGAACGGGACAGTGCAGAGTGAACCCACTGGTTTTTAGCAGACGGCCTGCAATCTTTCTTTCCTTTTTTTTCTTTTTCTTTTTTTTTCTTTTTTCCACAATCTACATAAAGGACTGGGGCATGTTATAGACAGGACGGGGGACGGGTTAGCACAGTGGATGCCCCAGCTTCTAGCAGCAGCAGCCCATCTGGAATGGTATGTGCGTACTACAGGCAACTGGCCCGGTAGCCAATGTCAAAAAAAGGACAGCAGAGAGTTGAAACCACCAGTACACACCATACATCGGCCACGGGTCCCTTTCGGAGACCGAAAGGAGACACCGGCCGCCGATGTTTTTCTATCAACGGCACGTTGGCCGCGTACGTTTTGGACTGTGGACTGGTGAAGGGTTTCTTATAGCAAGGCTGGGGTTGTGGACTGGTGGATTTAAGCTCACGATTTTTAGCAGACAGTCTGCAATAGGCTCTCCTTACCACACGGACACACACGGACATTTTACACAAACACACAGCCGCACATGCAGAGGCACACACACACACACACACACACACACACACACACACACACACACACACACACACACA